AACAATTCCACCTGTCTTGTCACTATGCATTTTTCTAGTAATAAAAATAAAAGACAAAACTAAAAATATTTTATGTGCCATTAAGTCACTTCTGATGTGTAGTGACTATATGAGTTCATGATTGCCAAAATGTCCTGTCATTAACAGCTCTGATCAGGACTTGCAAATCAACAGCTTCTCATGTTAGGCTGATCCCTCTTCCTATGCCCCCCCCTTTCCTAACAATATTTTATTTCCCGGTAAGTTCTGGAGTCAGCCTATCTCATGTTAGGTTTTCATCTTTTCCTGTTCCTCCCTTCCCTTTCCTGGCAATATTGTATTTTCTGGTCAATTCTGCATTCTCATTACATATGCAAGGTAAGATAGCCTCAGTTTACTCATTTTTGATCCTGTGAGAGTTCAGGCTTGACTTGATTGAGCACCCAGTTTTCTGTCTTTCTGTCTGGCTGTGGTATCTTTAAGACTCTCCTACAACACCACATATCAAATAAGTTTATTCCTCCCTCCCCATCTTTCTTCCATCTTTCAGGTAGTATGGACCTTGGTTTCCAGTGACAATCTTTGGTAACTCCAGGCCCTTCCTTTTTTAAATTTCAAAAGGCAAGAAGACATTTTCTGGAAAAACATGTACACAAGATGTTCACAGAGCTTTTGGTCCAATATAGCTTTTCTTCCTTAGCTTGCCTACCTCAAGAAAATGGTTTGAAAATTGAAAGATAGCTTTCTAGTCTGCATTCTGCCAAATGAGCATGGCAGCATTAGTTTACTTGAGAGGTTTAAGGGTGTGTATGTTTCTCATTGTATGTTTTGGATCTACTCACGATTTTGCTTCACCATTTCATCAAATCCAGTGAGGGACTACATCCATATCCCAACTGGTCTTGTTTCTGTCATCTTCCAGCAGCCATAGTACAGGTCATGTGTTCATCTTTTGAGATCCTCTAGTGCAGGTTAATGAGAGAAGTTTCTGTTGGAATTTGTGTGTAGTGTATGTGTACTTAAACTTCCATTTAAAAAGCCAGGAAATTCAATTCTTCAAAAAAGTCTGGTTTATGAATGTGGGATATATTGTGCTTCTGTATCCACAATTCAGAATACCAGGAAATGGCCCAATATTGTTGGACAAATTTGTTCATGCATTGCCAGCAGGAAAAAGGATGCTAAACTTTACATAACAGAGAGCAGCCTGAACATTGAAAACACTGATGACAACTGTCAGGATACCTTCTTGTGTTCACTGCCCTTCATTCCTGTTGAAAAACAGCTGCTTTGCGTTTGCATAAAAGATGGTTAACTGATGAAAAAAGGAGTCAGCTTTTGGGATTTTCCGTTTTGTGGTGTCACTTTGTGAATGGTATTAAGCAGAAGAAGGTATCCTGTAGACCGTTTTGACTGCTGCCATTGATATTGTCAACATTCTGGCTACCCTTGGCTATGTGAAGCTAGGCATCCTTTTTCCCACATTCACAAGACAGAGGTGTGTTTTTTTAAAGGACTGAAAAACATACTGGCTGAAATCCCGTGGTGCAGTTAAGCAAATGATGCAATTTCTAGAGGCAAATTGCTGTAAGAAATGTCTTACAAAACATGTGACTCAGTATGCAGCAGACATACATTGATTTCTTAACTTATGGCAATTTGCTTCCAGAAGTTACACCGTGTTCTTTTGCCATGCAAAAAGATTCCAGCTTCTATCTTTGTTGGTAGCAAATTCATATAGCTTTTAAACATCTTTGATTTTCTTTTTCCTAATATGGACACTTCTGCTGTTTGTCCCAAGCAAGTCTTTCCTGTTATACTGTCAGGGCTAGAAGGCAGTATTGCCTCTTTCTGGCCTCTTGAACTTCTAGAATGTTTTTACCTGGAGTACCGTGGTTTGACCTTTGCAAAGGTGTGCTGTGCAAAAACACAAACTTCATAATTCTTGGCCTCTGATGTTGCCGAGCAAGTGAGTACCATGGATTCCATGTACTTACTCTGAAATTCTGACTCTGGTTCTGAACATGGCAATGTTAAAAGTAGTGCATGTATCCCAACATCTGATCAAAAAATTCTTCTTTCCACTGTTTTCTTGGCAAATATGGGCATGACAGGTAGGCTGTCTTCCCCCCAGCCCACCTCCTGCTAGATAAATCTCTTTACAGTATATAGGTCCTGATTCCCAGTGTGGTGTAGTGGGCAGAGTGACAGACTTAGACTCTGGAGAACAGGGTTTGAATCCCTGCTTGACCATGGAAACTCACTGGGGGAGTGGAACTGTTAAAACTAATCCTTAAAGATTTAACTTACCCTGAAAACTATATTAGGGTCACTATAAGATGGTTCTGACTTGACAGTGCAGAACACACAACACAGATCCTGGGAAAGAATCAGTGTCACTCAATAGCAGTAATTTTTAAAGAAGGAGCTGTGTTAGTCTGTCTCGGAACTTTGGCGAAAGAAAAGTGGGCTGAAGAAAACTCCCAAAATATTCTAGCACTGTAATTTATTTATTTATTTATTTATTTTATATCCCGCCTATCTGGTCGGTTAAGACCACTCTAGGCGGCCAGTTTTATTTTAGTGTGAGCTTTCTTGGATCAAATTCCACATGAGCTCACACTGGGGAAAAAAATGGTTGCCATTAAAGTGTTACAATATGTTTGGTTTTTTTCCTCCTTTATTTTGCTAACTCCTTAGTGGTGACTAAGGAGAGTTCAGTGAGGCTTAGAATAGCAGCTACATGGGGAATACCCTCTATGGTAATGAAGAGTATGCAATGCCCTTAGATAAAAATTGTGATCTAGCGGCCCTAACCTGTATAGAGCTTCTAAAATGCAGCTGCTACTGTGATGAACTGTTGCCAGTGGCTAAGGAGACAAGATATCCAGCCTTGAATCCACAGAGCTCATAGTATCTTGGCTACTTAAGACTTGAATGGAACACACTTCATTAGAGATTTTGTCTGTTGATCTGTGAAAATAATAAGGGCTCTTTTTACCTTATTATGGTTGTTATATGGTACACGCAAAATTCATGATCTTTTAAAGCACTCTTTTGTTGTTGCTCAGTCTTTCCATTTTGAAGCAACTTCAGGAACGTCTACTTTGATGATGCTAACCTAAGATTGACATGTGACTGACTCTCCTCCTATTTCAGTACTTTAGGTAGGCTGAGATTGACTCAAACATCATATGTGAGGGTCATGCTAGGGAAGTCATTTAAGCTCACTCTGTCTGCTATTATTGAAAACATAAACTTTGCAGTCAGGTCAAAGATAGGACATGTCTATTGGAATAATTCTCTTTAATCCTTTCCTGAAAACTTATTGGCTGAGGAATGTCTGATAGCAAGCAGATTCATGGGCACAATATAGCGGTCTGATGAATTCCAAACAATTATGCAAGAGGTGCTTAGTCTTGAAGTTAGGAAGGAAACCTTGCCCTTTTGGAACACACAGCCTAGACTGATTTTATGGCTTCCTCAGTGACTCACTAGTACTGGCAGTCCTTGCCATCCCAACAGAGTGAATTGGGAGATATTCCTCCACTCTTTGTTTGGACTGATACTACTTTTAATACTTTCCAGAGAGCCAAATTCTTTATTGTCTGTATTTTAGTGACTTTGTTAACTGCAAATGCTCATGGTAAACATTGCTAGAAATGGAATTTTACTGCTTGTGAACCCTGCTCCTTGAAACTAAAGGTCATTATAAATATCAATTTTTGGGATTAGAAATATGAATGTACTCTTCAAACAGAATTTAGTAAGAGACTGATGGACTTAAATGGTGATAATTTGTACAACATTTAAGGACAAGAAGGTTTGGCTGAATACCTACTCCTAAATCGTCAAGGGGAGGCTAAATAGTCAAGGGAATAATAATCATATTATTCCACAGGAGGTCACATTAAAATATAATAATCTTTTAGGTGCCACATGTTTTTGTCTGTTTTTGTTTTGTTTTGATTCTCTGGATTTTACCTGATATGCTTGCACAGAGTAACACAGCTATCTTTTCTAAAACTACAAATAATCAGATACTGTGGCACTGGGTTACTCCTGATAACCAGTTGCCATAGGTATAAAGCATTTCCTGGTTCCCAACAGTGCAGCATTTATACTGTTTTGTGCGGTGCAGTAGTTAGGGTTACCTCTGACAGTCATTTTTCAAACCTGTCAAGAGATAACACCAATCCAAGGTAGACATGGAGTTAAATGGGTCTTTACATATATTGAGGCAGAAGAAGATCTTATTTAATGTTCAGGTTCCTGAGCAAAGTCATTAACTGAAGCTGCTTTTTACATCGGAAAGGAATCTCTCCTGGTCAGATATCCTCTCCCTGCCCACTCCAGTTCCAATAACTAGAACCCTCACTGCTATTTGCATTAAAACTGTGCATATTCAGTACAAAGATATTTTAGAAATACAGTAGGTCTAATTATGCCCAGCTAGTTGAAGGTCCTGAATCACTTGAGTCTGTTCTTGAGTGAGCTGCGAAAGCTTTGCTATGGTGCCACCTCTTGACAGTTTATGTTACTATACAGTGCAATATTTGGATTGGGCTTCCTCTTAGCCACATACAGTATTAATATTTTGTTGCAAGCAAGAGCTTAACATTCTGTATTTAGATATTGGTTAGGCATGCAAGGGGATGCGGCAGGGAAGGGGAACCATGCCACCCAATTACAAGAGGAGAAGATGTTCTATATACAAAAAACTACAAGTAGATTTCATATATTTCTAATCCATTTGCACTTGTTTATTCTTGCAGTAGATTTTCAAAATCGTAGCTGCGATAGTGAAACATTGTATGATCATTGCATGACCAAAAGTTTAGCCTTTGATTTGAGTAAGAGCTTACAATGCCATGGTTAAAGCAGCATCCTGTACTGGGGCAAGTGGGATTAGGGCTTCTAGTTGGAACCTTTATCTGCTTTGTGTTTGCTCTAATGGGTTTGGGCTATATGGAATTAAATATCCAGGACAGAGGTTACCCTGCTGACAATTCTCTCCACAGGCAATACTACTGGTATGATGAGCGGGGAAAGAAGATTAAATGTACTGCTCCTCAGTATGTTGATTTTGTCATGAGTTCGGTGCAGAAGCTAGTGACAGATGAGGATGTCTTTCCTACAAAATACGGTATGCTGTCCACTAGAAAGACTTGTCTCAGCCAAAGAGTTTTTGTGGCTTTGACTTATAAGCATTTTAAGTGTAAATAATCTAATAGGGATGCAGCCTGTACTGGATGGGATTACACTCCCACTTTGAAAACAGGTGCACAGCTTGGGGGTAATCCTGGATTCATTCCTGAGCCTGGATCCTCAGGTCTTGGCAGTCACCACGAGTGCATTCGCACAATTAAAACTAGTGTGCCAGCTACGTCCATCTCTTGAGAGATCTGATCTGATCACTGTCATACACACCCTACTTCTTTCCTGACTGGATTACTGTAACACATTCTATGTGGGGCTGTCAGCACAAAGTGTCAAGAAACTTCAGCTAGTCCAGAATGCAGCAGACAGATTGCTGACTAGGGCTGGTTACAGGGATCACATAACCCCTCTGTTACAGCAGCTCCACTGGCTGGCTACCGATCAGTTTCCGGGCACAATTCAAAATCCTGGTTTTAACCTATAAAGCCCTAAATGGCATCGGTCCAAGCTATCTCAAAGACTGTATCTCCCATTATGAGCCAGCTCAGGTGTTAAGATAATCAGGAGAGGCCTTTCTCTTAGTCCTGCCACCTTCACAGGTGCATTTGATGGGGACATGGGACATGGCCTTCTCTGTTAATTCTCCCAGAATTTGGAACTCCGTCCCACAGGAGACCAGACTGGGCCCATCTTTGCTGTCCTTCTGCAAGCAGACAGACCTTTCTCTTCCCTCAGTAACTAGCTACCTGTGTGTAATTTTTAGAGCGATTATTACTGTTTTCCATTTTTGGGTTTTCCATTTCTCAGAGTGACTTTTTTTCTTTTTAATATACATATTGTTCCTACCACTAATATTGTCTTTTAATGATGTAAGAAGCCACTTTATCTTCATCAGTCTTAGCTTTAAATATTGTCTTTTAATGATGTTAACCATCATTGTCTACTCATTATTTTAAACTTTAAATATTGTCTTTCAGTGTTGTAAGCTCCTTGAGTCCTTTTTGGGGAGAAAGGCAGGGTATATTATTTTAAATACAATAAAATAAGATAGATAGATTAGATAGAAAGAAAAGAAAAGAAAGAAAGAAAGAAAGAAGTGACATGCCAGGGAGTAAAATGTCAATTAAACATTGGTCCCTTGGGTCCTTTTAATGAGAAAGGTGGAGAAAAATATATTTATTTTTGTTCAACAGTATTGATGTGGACCAAATGAAACATACTGGTAAATGTATACATAACTCTGATATTCCCTTTGGGTACACCACTGTTTTTGCTCTGTTAGTGGCTTGCCATAGCACAGTGAAAAGCCAAACAGGAACTTGAGGTGGGGGCATATATATCTTGGGATCTGAGAGTGAAACATAGGTTTCTCTTATAACCGGTCCACCATAATTTGAGCACAAGAAAGACTCCTACGAGCTTACCAACCTGGAATGTGCCACATGAAGTAAGAAGGGCAATTAAATATCTGGCCAGAAGAGATGTTCCTATGAATGTAGTGTTTCAGGAATTTAACCAAGTATGATGGCTTTTTTTCTCTTCTTTTTCTCATGGCAGGCAAGGAATTCCCCAACTCCTTTGAGTCCCTAGTGAAGAAGATTTGCAAGTATCTGTTCCATGTGCTGGCCCACATCTATTCCTCACACTTTAAGGAAACGTTGGCACTGGAACTGCATGGACATTTGAACACACTCTACATACACTTCATTCTATTCATCAGGGAGTTCAATCTGGTGGACCCTAAAGAAACCACCGTCATGGACGACCTCACAGAAATCCTCTGTAGCAGCAGTGCAAGCAGCAGCAGTAATGGGAGCGGCAGTGGCGGCAGCAGCAGTGGCAGTAACACAGGAGCACAGAACCACGTGAAGGAGAGATGAGTCTTCCCAACAGGAGCAAAACTAATGCTAACACTTTTTTAAAAAAAATACTCTATATTCTCTGTGTGTATGTGTATGTATATGTGCATATGTATATATATACAGACATACACAGCCATGACAGTTTAAACAATTATGCTGCCACCCCAGGACATGTAGACCGTATGAGACTGTATGGAGCTTTTGTTAAATGCATCATCCTTGGTGAGAAGTTGCACCAGTTTTATTTTATTCCCCCTCCTTTTAACCCTCCGCTATCAGATGGATGATGAGTGCTGTTTTTAGAGAAGAACCACATTTTTTTGAGTTGGGCTACTGCTTTTGAACGTTTGTGTTTTGTTTTTTTTCCTACCTACTCCCCTTTCTGTTGGGGGAGTCCTTGAACCCAAGGCCCTTCCTGTCTCTCCTTGCCTCTCTAGGATGGTGGCACTGCCATTTTAAAAATATTAAAAGAAGTGACTTGTGAAATGGCTTAAGATGCAGATGTTTGTTGTTTTGGGAGGGGTGTTGTTGTTGAGACTTCCTTTGTTTTTACTTAAATTGACACTTTCCCTTCTTCCCGCAGACATTTTGCATCTAGCCCTTTGCTGGCTTGTAATGGAAAGAAGAGTTTTGGCTCAATTAGTGTAGCAATAAGGCTTCCAGCGCACTTACTGGATATGGCTCTCCAGACTACCTAGTCTCAGTGTGTGAATCTTGAAAGAGCAACCACAGGCTTTTTCTGCTTATTGCTCCTAGTTTCTCTACCCAATCCTTGGCTCCTCCTTTCCCAGCCACAAACACCAGGATTGAAACGCTGAGGAGATGATAAAATGCAATGGTAAAAGCCATGACCATGTATGTTGCAATGTGGGGGAGAGGGCAGAGCCAAGATTGAAAGGGGCACACTCAGTCTATCACCACCAGTGCTAAAGAGATGGCTATTGGCATATAATTATATTGTTGGCTTATTTTAGTTCATCTGTCCAATAATAATAAAAAAAATTCTATCAGGCAGAAGCTGTGTTTTTCTGTTTGCAATGTCAGCAACAACTTTATTGTGTGCAGAGGCTAAATATTAGTTTCTACTTGCCTTCCCCAAATTTTGTGTCCTCCTGATTTCTTGGACTGTAACTCTTCAGACAGCTGGAGGGCACCAAGTTTGGGGAAGGTTGATTTTTACTCTGGGAAGTTGTTGCCATGCTATGTGTTGTAACTAATTACATAATAGTTGTTGTGGGTTTTTCGGGCTCTTTGGCCATGTTCTGAGGGTTGTTCTTCCTAACGTTTCGCCAGTCTCTGTGCTGTCCTCTGAAGATGCCGGCCACAGAGACTGGCGAAACGTTAGGAAGAACAACCTTCAGAACACGGCCAAAGAGCCCAAAAAACCCACAACAACCATTAGATCCCAGCTGTGAAAGCCTTCGCAAATACAATTACATAATACTTAGCTGCCTGCCAAGGCTCTACTATTTGGTATCTTTCAAGCTTACTACAATGTTTTTGCATACTACTTTTTTTTTGTACACTATAACCTTTCTCAGAATTTAAAAGGAACTCAAATTCAAGACTTTACCAATGAAATCATGTGCGAAGCTTCCTGTGAAGATCAATTGTTAGGGATATCATGCCACTGTTACAGTAGCCAATTACTACGAGAATCCATAGTATAGTGCACAATGACTTATGTGTAAGAAGAATTTTGTATGTGAACATACTCTGTCTGAAATCCAATAGTGTAAAGTTACAGATCGTAAACCTTATGATATCATCGGCACTGGCCATATTTTGTTAATAAAAAGTTTTCTCCCCCGCTTCCTAGGTTCCCTTCAGTCTTCGGGAAGCCTTTGGGAACGAGAAATCTTAAATGTCTGAAAGTCATCTCTGCCAGGGAAACTTTTCAGTGACAAAATAGAGCTGCAGCTGATGACATCATCAGGATTATGCAACATAAATGTACACTATTGGATTTCAGAAATTAATTCCTGATGTTTATCCAAAGGCCATGTTGTCAACTTGTCAGGAGTTTGAGGGAGTGGACAAGATGGACTGTACAGTGTTACGGTATGATTCCTTGAAATTTGTAGGCATCTGCAGATTTTGTTCATTGGAATTTGCCACTGTGTAGCACTCCCACCTTATGCTGAAATGAAGCTAGCATATACAAGAAGACAGTATTGCAGCTGCAATCTCTTCCAGAAAGGTGAGTGTTGAATAGAAAGACAAACACAGAATTCCATTTTCTTTACTGTGGAGCTGGATATGCAGCTATATTTTTCCATGCTTCAGAGTAGATTGCGCTGTATAATCTGCATATTTATTTAACACTATCTCACCTTTTCTTCTGAAAAGTACAGAGCTACTAATAAGTTTTTTTAAAAAAAACAAACAAACCACCAAATTGCTAAAAACAGTGGAGTACGGAAAGTTCCAGGACAGTCATAGAAACAATAAGACATCTTGCAATAATAAGCAGGGCTTAGTGCAGGAACATAAAACCCTGAAATCCTTCTAAATGGAAAAATTGCAATCATGTGACAGAAGACCATGGTCTCTCTTGGGGAAGAAGTAACAAAAGAGCCTCGTGCAGTCAGCGAAGCATAACAAGATTGTGGTCCTAAACTGTTGAAATGTTTGTAACATTTTCCATATACATATTTGTTCATCTCTAACTGGGATTGTGGTCCTAAACTGTTGAAATTCCATATACATATTTGTTCATCTCTAACTTAATGCTGTTTAATTTTCAAGAACGTTGAAACTAAAATTCATCATCTTACAGGTTCCTCTGGGGAGAGGTTATGCAGGTAAGGTACACTTGTTTGGCTGAAGTTATTATCCTAGAAGGCATCACTAAGGGTGTGATCTTTCATATTTTTGAACTGCAACCCTGCAAATTCCCCAGGAGGTACAGCCTGGAAACACAAGTATACAAACCTGCTTTTCTGGGTATTTACCTCTGCCACTGATTGTTTCTACTTTCAAAAACAAAGAAGTTGCTGCAGAGCTACCAAGAGGTCACCATCTACTATCAATTAGCCACTCACACCATCACATTGCTGACCAGTAGGGGGTGTGCCCATTGAGGCATCAAGGATGCTGGGAGTTGTAGTCTTGGTGCCCATTAGACTCTATTGAAAGAACCTCCTGAAGAACTGTGACTTCCAGGAAGACCTACAACTCCCAGGTGGCAGCTTCCGTATGTTTTCTGCATTTCCCTTTTCAAAACCACATACGTGAAAAACACACAGAACTGAGCAGGATGCTCAGATGAAAACAAGACTATGAAAAGTTAGGAGGAAGAGCATGAGAAAGCAGCTTGTTGATAGGAATATGAGCTGAAAATACTGGCCTCTGAAAAGATGTCATACAACAGATTTCCACCATTTCATTCTCCATACTTTGTGCTACAGTTTAGCTTCTAGGGACACAACACTGAGACAGAGAACCACAGTTTTATGCTAGTTTTTTTATCTACAGAGTCCAGAGGCATAACAGTTGCATGCAAAATCCATGAATTTTTTTGAGAATGGGGACTAGACAGTTTCTTAATGAATGAGAAGCTTAGTTAGACTTTTAAAAAAACCCACAGTGTTTCTTTTTCTGATCTGAAGAAGTATATGTAGCCAGCTTACTGTTTTTTCCTGGTTAAAAGCCACTACTCTAGTTTCTACTCCACTCTCCTACCATTGCTAAACAGGGTTACAAATTGCACAAAACACATTTTTGCATACATTAGTCCTTCTACAAATGTAACTTCTCCCAGACACCAATTTAAGTAAATATTACTTAATTTGTATCCTGCTCCCATTAGCACTACTCTGGGCGGGTTGTAACTTGTAAAATAGCAAAACAAAAATGAAAATAGAAATATTAAAATATTTAACCAGGAGCTTCGAGCGATGAAGCGATATAGGAGAAGGCTAGAGCATAGGTGGAGAAAAAACCCGACGGCTTATAATTGGATAGCTGTTAGGGTCGCAACTAACCTTTACCTGTCTAAGGTAAAGGCTGCATGGCAATCATTCTTCGCTAACCAGATAAGCGAAGCGTCAAATCAGCAGGCGGAGTTGTTCCGTATAGTGCGCGACCTATCCGGAACTGGTTCAGGTGACAGGCCTCCCTCTAGTTTTTCACCTGACCAGTTTGCAGCCTTTTTAAAATCTAAAGTGGAGGCCATCCGCTGGGAGCACTCTCCTTTTTTTGAACACAGTGAGTTGAGCAGAGATGTCCAGCGCTTCGTCTTGTCTGGTATCCTTCGGTTCTTTTCAGCCTGTGACGCCAGACACTGTGAACAAGGTGCTTGATCGCTGCTGGGCCACCACCTCCTCCCTTGACACTTGCCCGGCCTGGCTAATCAAAGCAGCCAGGCCGATAACAACTGAATGGGCCACAGCAATAATAAATGGGTCTTTCCTTGAGGGCAGATTTCCATCTGCCCTTAAGGAGACAATCATTAGGCCCATAAGAAAGAAACTTAATATGGCGGTGGACGAAATTGGCAATTATAGGCCCATCGCCAATGTTTCTTTCATGAGCAAAGTAGTCGAGAGGCTGGTGACTGATCAGCTTCAGGCTTACTTGGATGAAACAGATGCCCTGGATCCGTTTCAGTCGGGCTTCAGGGCGCACCATGGTACAGAGACGGCATTGGTCACCCTGTACGATGACCTGTTGAGGGAGGCCGACGGGTAAAATGTCTCTGTTGGTCCTCCTTGACATCTCAGCAGCCTTTGATACCGTCGACCACGGTATCCTCCTGGGGAGGCTCTCCGAGTTGGGAATCGGTGGCTCATCACTTGCCTGGCTCCGTTCCTTCTTGGGGTACCGTCCGCAGAGAGTGCAGCTTGGGGAGAGTGTCTCGGCCTCGTGGAGTCTCAATTGTGGGGTTCCATAGGGGTTGATCATCTCCCCAATTCTGTTTAACATCTATATGAGGCTGCTGGGCGGGGTCATCTGGGGATGTGGGGCTTCAAGTCATCAATATGCCAATGACACCCAGCTCTACATCTCATTTTCACCAACTGCAAGTGATGCCGTCCTGTCCCTTCAGCACTACCTGGGGGCCATCCTGCAATAGATGCAGGAGAACGGGCTGAGGCTGAACCCGGACAAGACGGAACTTCTGAGGGTGGGTACCCCTGTGGTTGGCGGCTTGGGTGACTCATGTTTGGGGGGGTGACCCTAGCCACAAAGAGTGGGGTCCAAAGCTTGGGAATACATTTGGACCCGACGCTCACCATGGAAACGCAGGTGGCGTCGGTAGTCCGTTCTGCCTTTTTCCATCTTTGGCAGATTGCCCAGCTGTGGCCCTACCTCGACGCAGGGGCATTCACTACCTTGGTGCATGCGCTCGTAATCTCAAGATTAGACCACTGTAACGCGCTCTGCGTGGGGCTGCCTTTGAGGCTGATGCGGAAACTTCAGGTGGTGCAGAATGTGGCAGCCAGACTCCTTAACGGAGTGAGAAAATACCAACACATTTCTCCAACGCTGGCCGCACTGCATTGGCTGCCAATTCGTTTCCATGTCGACTTCAAAGTTTTAATGCTTACAAGGCCCTAAACGGTTTAGGGCCTCGATATTTGGCGGAACGCCTGCATCCACCAAGGTCTACCAAGATCACCTGCGTGAGTCAGGAGGTGTGGCTGAGGAGCCTGACGCCGAGAGAGGTCCGGAAGGAGAAGACACGAAACCGGGTGTTCTCGGCGTTGGCTCCTCGCCTCTGGAACAATCTCCCTCCGGAGATTCGCGCGGCCCCTACGCTGGGCATCTTTAAAACCCAATTAAAATCATGGTTGTATATCCAGGCCTTACCTCCAGCCAACCCTTGATTTCTCTTCTTACTTTCCCCCTATCCTTTTAGTCTATTGTAATTGTTACTGAATTATCATGTTCATGCTTGCGTTTTATTGTTTTATTTTGTATTGGAAGCCGCCTAGAGTGGTCTGGTAGTCCAGATAGGCAGGGTATTAAATAAATTAAATAAATAATAAATAAATAAATAAATAACCCTA